TGTGGCCGCCAGCGCCAGAGATCCTGAACACTGTCTGGCAACACTTGCCAAGATCACGAACTCTGTCTGGCAACACTTGCCAACAAGAGTGGCTGGCAACGTCAAAAAAGAAAAGGCGCGAAAGTTCGTTGGATTTTGTCCGGGTGTTGCCCGAGGATGTCTGTGACAGTTCTAACCTTTTCTAATAAAGTTCTTTTTTGTTACTGTTCGTGTTTGCCTGCTTAATGTTAGATCTAAACATCAGTAGGATTGAATGACAAAAACCAATTGCCAAAAATATTCTCCAGGAAATTACGCGCCATGTTTTAACCGGCCATTTATCCATCATCGACAAATTGATGGGATTCTTAGTTAATTAATTACGTATTTATAATTTTAAGTATTTAATAATACCAGTAAATCCAACGATTTTGAACTCTTAATCTTTATTCTTACACGATGTATGTTTAAAGAATTCTTTCTATTATATTCAATAAAAACTTCTAACTGGAGAACTACACCGTATTTGTAATATGTGAAAAATAGGACCCGAGTTTACTTTGAAAGTCGGTTAAAGTCCCTACATTATGGTAACCATATTGAAAAAATAACTCTACTTATCGAACTGAAAAATAATTGGTCTGATGTAGAACTGAAGGAATGTAACATCTTTGAAAGAGTATTATTTCAAAGTATAATTGTATCATTTTGCATATAGTTCAGAAAATAATATTTTTCTGATGTGCAGAATTTCGATATATTTGTCTTAATTCTCATATATTAAAAAGAACTTTTATATACGGTCGAACCTCCGAACGATGGCCACCTACGGGAACGTAATAAACAGCTGTTGGGAGTTTTGTAGGCATTTGTGTTCCAACGAAATTCCGGAAAAAATGGCCGCCATTTAGATTAGAAATAGCATTTACAATTTTTTTTGTAAAACTCATCCCTACCTTCAAAATTAAGTGTTTTGCCATTTCATAACAATTAAAAATATAATAATTTCTTTTTAATAAAATATCTTAACGGATGGCACCACTGGTAAAGATGTTTATAGTAAATCAAAGTAAAAATAAAGTAGAAAGAGCTATCAGAGAAATCAGGCGTGGTCTGCCCATTGTAATATATGGTGAGAATAGTTACTTATTAAAAATTTAAAATGTTGCTGGGAAAGTTAAACAACTGATTGCTGGATTTTTATGTAGTGTTTTTAAAGGTGCAATGTATTACATACTGTATTTGGTTTACATTTAATTTTAGTAAGTAAAATTAAAATGTTTTATTGTATAGTTTAAAAGTAATTATGTAATAAGTGTAACCTAAGAGTAGAATACAGTTACAAGCATCCAAGTTCAATTTATTATTTAATAATCTTACCAAACATTTTCTGCATTATCTGAGTTATTAACAATCTGATATATCTTCAGATCCACATTATCTTAAATAATGGGGACTCTACCATATTAATTTTCTGATAAATGTTAATTTTTTTAAATATTTAAAACTGTATATTATTTTATTAAATATATTTTAAGACATTAATACAACATACATTAACACAATATAAAAATCTGATAACATTTGCATAAAACATTGAATAAAAACTGTTTCTAAAATTGCTCCAATTAGTTTCATTATACAGGTGTTCCCCTTAAATGACTAATTCTATGGATTAATATTGGAAAAAGAAACGCAAATACAGTAATATAGAAAATGTAATAGAAAATGCATCTAAAAAAAGTAAGTTACTACACGAAATCAGTATATTTCCACATATGTTCCTGATGTGGAAAGTATGACATCTGATCTGTACTTGATTTTGGCCCACATCTGAGCTAGCATGTTTGGAATAATGTTAGTAGCATATGCAGTTCTTGTATGCAGGGTTCTCAAGTGTGGCACTTTTGTAGCATATACATGATCTTTGACATGCCCACAAAGAAAAAAGTTCAGAGATGATGTTGGGTGATTGTGTGAGGTACCAGACGGAAGCCACTTTGAACGTCCAAAGGTAACCACTCTATCGAGAAATAGAGCTCCATTTTCAGACACGAATAGGGAGAATTAAATGTCCTGATTGAACAATGAAAGTTTTTACTAAAACAATAGAAAAGACTAAAGTCGAGGGAAATGTGGCTGGAGAGGAGTCGTTTTTAGTTGCAAAACTGATCTCTCCCGCGCCCTCTGATCGGTTTCGAATTGTCACCAGATGACGAGCAGAGACCAATGAAAAGGTGGCTTTAGGGAAAAACTTATAAAACCGCACAAATCAAGGACATGACGTTCTTGGTTCTCCACTTCAGGATTTTTGCAATCCTGCAGATCAGCAGCAATAGATTTGTTGACTCCTGGGACTTACCGTTACTCTCCTATGATGTCTTGCTTTGCCCAGATTCGCCCTTCTCCGGAGACTTTCGCCTGAAGCTGTGCCGCACGCCTCGGGCTGTTGATCGCAACGTACGACATTGAGGAACTGAAAGGAGAACTGTGAACTGAACATCAGNTTTGTTTTCTGTGAAACTCTGTAGCATTATCTGTAAAGCCAGTATAATAAGTCATGATATTAGAAGATATGTACTTGTAGACAAAAATTTATATTTTATTAAGTCAAGGACAATGAGGCATTTTAATTGAATGTCAGACTCTTGAGTTGACATTTCATTCATTCCCTGAGCTGTGTTACATCGCAACTTTGCAAAACGTTGTAAGAAACTTTTGTGTACATAATAAACGGGTTAAAAGATGGAAAGCCTGCCTCAGTGAGTATTTCCACTCCCACACCACAGTGTTGACCACTCAATTGTCCTGACATTTCTACACCAGTCGGCTAACCTCACAATTGGGCAGACTAAGAAATGGGGTCCCAGTAATGGCAATGCATGTCTAAATTGTCACCGTGTGGCAGCAGCAGCTCTTTCAAGTGTATGCACATAAAAATTGGAGTGTTGACAGACATTCTCTGACACACATTTATTCACAAAACTACAAACATTCAAGGAGAACATCCTATATCTGAAACGATTTAATTATGTAGAAAACATATTAAAATTTACAACCTATTTCCAGACAAAGAAATATTAGATAACATACTGTACTCCAGCATTGCTCTAGTACACAATTTTGAAGAAGGTCATAACCAAAGTTAAATATTAACAGTAAAATAATATTTTAAATTTCCACTTTTCTTATAATTAGAAAAAATATTAAATTTTATTTTATTTCCACTTATTTGTATGGAAACTTTCAAATCACCCAGTATAATTATATTATTCTTTTCATATAAAACTATTTAACGTATAAAAAACTGTTTACATTATTATTTATTACAGTTTATAATATAAAAATAATTTACAAAGATTACAATTCATAAAATACAAGAATTAAAATATCTTCATAAACTCAACTGAGCAACAATTTCATCAGTTTCAAGTTCTTTTTCTAGTAACTTAAATCTGAAATTGCAATACTCTTTAAAATCTAACACCGCATTATCTAAACACATGTGACTTAATTGTGCATCCAGTTGGCAACTTTCACTGTTTTTAACAGAATTTTCATGTACAAAAGATAATATTAATTGTAATTCTTCTTTTAATGATGAATTCAAATTTGGATTTTCTTTATCGACGTTAATAACGTTTTTGACAGCATGAATATTAATATCTTCGGGAAGCAAATCTTGAAGCCAACGAATAAAAATTAGAAGTTGAGTCGTTTCCCTAAAATATTCAAATTTTTTGAAATTTAATTAATTTGAGATATAAATATAGTAAAATATGGAATAAAAACAGTATAAAATCATATAAAGTTTCAATATTATATTGGCAAGAAAGAATTTTAAGTGAACTATGATACACTTTCATGTAGAACCTAATAACATAAAAAAGCCAGAATATATTCAAAATCCAGAAATTATCATTATAAAATTGCTTTTATTATATCATTAAATTTAAACAAAAAATATAATTTACATCATCAGAAACTTTTTAATTCTGAATAATGTGAACAGAAAAGCCAAACAAACAAGTAATAAGTGAAAATAAAACCATGAGACCAGATGGTCAAGCTGTTAAGGCAGCAGCCTACCACTCTGGGGTCCCATGATTGATTCTGGACAAGTCAAAAACCCCAGAAATTTTTTGGGAGAATACTGTCCAGATATATTGGGCCCTGCCTTCACTATCTGGCTGCCCTATTAAGGATCTTGTTGAACCAACAGTGGACATGCTAAAAGTAGGCCATCTTAGAGCCCACAAAATGGAGACAGTTAAAAAAAAAAATAAATATAATCATGAAATACATAATGTAATTGAATAATTAAAGTAAATAATTCATAAATAAATAACGAATATAATAAATAAATAATTAATCTCTAATTAAATTACTATAAATACAATAAACATCAAATTACCAATACAGTAGAACCTCGATTATCCGGACTGATTGGGGATGAAGGTAGTCC